TCCTTGTCCCCCCCCTCTCCCCCTCTCCCTCTCACACCTGCTAGCTAGCCTGGTCCTTGTCCCCCCTCTCCCCCTCCCCCTCTCTCCCCCTCACACCTGCTAGCCTGGTCCTTGTCTACCCATCCAGTCCCCATGTCTCAAATGGAATCTTTACCATTCGTGGCGGGATCTAGTGGGCTCTGGATTTATATTTGTCCTTCGATATCGCCTTGAAGGCCCATTACTCCTTACCCCCAACACGCAGATTCCCCTTTACATCCTCCCGTAATGTATTCTTGTGCCGTCTTCCAAGTCGCTGCCTGTCCCACCCACTCGGATTCGTAGGCCTGAGGGTCCGGGTTCGATCCCCGGTGGAGGCGGAGACAAATGGGCAAAATGTTTCTTTCATCCTGATGCTCCTGTTACCTAGCAGTAAATAGGTATCTGGTAGTTAGACCGCTGCTACGGGCTGCTTCCTGGGGGTGTGTAACACAAAGGAGGCCTGGTCGAGGACCGGGCCGCGGGGACGCTAAGCCCCGAAATCATCTGAAGATAACCTCAAGATAACCCTTCAACACCCTCGCTGCCTATTTTAGGGATCCACTTCTCGTTAATGGGTATATCTATATCTATATAATAGGACGTCTGTCTGTTTCTGCGAGTTTGGAGGCCCAGAGGCTTAGGGCTAGGCCTCACGGAACTTTGCATGGTGATGTGTGATCGTATGAGGAGTGTCATAGGGTGGCTGGGGGTCGACCCAGTGCCCATCTTCAGAAGGATGGCCTCTTATTCCAATCCTAGCGACTCTTGTGAAGTATGAAATGTGAGTTTGTTCGTAGGGTTAAAGCAGATTTTAATGGTGCTATTGATCTTAAAACAATGTCGATAACGTTGAGTATTGCTAGAGCATTTTTTGCCCACTTGCCCACTCATACTTATGTTCAGTACCTAGTTGGAAACTGTTTCGCTTCCTCTCCCTACCCTTGTCTTTCTCTCCCTTCCTGCCCTTGGCTGTCTCTCCCTTCCTGCCCTTGGCTGTCTCTCCCTTCCTACCCTTGGCTTTCTCTCCCTTCCAACAATTGGCTGTCTCTCCCTTCCTACCCTTGTCTTTCTCTCCCTTCCTACCCTTGTCTTTCTCTCCCTTCCTGCCCTTGGCTTTCTCTCCCTTCGTACCCTTGGCTGTCTCTCCCTTCCTGCCCTTGGCTGTCTCTCCCTTCCTGCCCTTGGCTTTCTCTCCCTTCCTACCCTTGTCTTTCTCTCCCTTCCTGCCCTTGGCTGTCTCTCCCTTCCTACCCTTGTCTGTCTCTCCCTTCCTACCCTTGGCTGTCTCTCCCTTCCTACCCTTGGCTGTCTCTCCCTTCCTGCCCTTGGCTGTCTCTCCCTTCCTGCCCTTGGCTGTCTCTCCCTTCCTACCCTTGGCTGTCTCTCCCTTCCTACCCTTGGCTGTCTCTCCCTTCCTACCCTTGGCTGTCTCTCCCTTCCAACCCTTGGCTGTCTCTCCCTTCCTACCCTTGTCTTTCTCTCCCTCCCTATCCTTGGCTGTCTCTCCCTTCGTACCCTTGGCTGTCTCTCCCTTCCTGCCCTTGGCTGTCTCTCCCTTCCTACCCTTGGCTTTCTCTCCCTCCCTATCCTTGGCTGTCTCGCTTCCTGCCCTTGGCTGTCTCTCCCTTCCTGCCCTTGGCTGTCTCTCCCTTCCTGCCCTTGGCTTTCTCTCCCTTCGTACCCTTGGCTGTCTCTCCCTTCCTACCCTTGGCTGTCTCTCCCTTCCTGCCCTCAGCTGTCTCTCCCTCCCTATCCTTGGCTGTCTCCCTTCCTGCCCTTGGCTGTCTCTCCCTTCCTACTCTTGTCTTTCTCTCCCTTCCTGCCCTTGGCTTTCTCTCCCTTCGTACCCTTGGCTGTCTCTCCCTTCCAACCCTTGGCTGTCTCTCCCTTCCTACCCTTGTCTTTCTCTCCCTCCCTATCCTTGGCTGTCTCTCCCTTCGTGCCCTTGGCTGCCTCTCCCTTCCTACCCTTGGCTTTCTCTCCCTCCCTATCCTTGGCTGTCTCCCTTCCTGCCCTTGGCTGTCTCTCCCTTCCTGCCCTTGGCTGTCTCTCCCTTCCTACCCTTGGCTGTCTCTCCCTTCCAACCCTTGGCTGTCTCTCCCTTCCTGCCCTTGGCTGTCTCCCTTCCTACCCTTGTCTTTCTCTCCCTTCCTGCCCTTGGCTGTCTCTCCCTTCCTACCCTTGTCTTTCTCTCCCTTCCAACCCTTGGCTGTCTCTCCCTTCCTACCCTTGGCTGTATCTCCCTTCCTGCCCTTGGCTGTCTCTCCTGCCCTTGTCTTTCTTTCCCTTCCTGCCCTTGTCTTTCTCTTCCTTCCTGCCCTTGGCTTTCTCTCCCTTCGTACCCTTGGCTGTCTCTCCCTTCCTGCCCTTGGCTGTCTCTCCCTTCCTACCCTTGGCTTTCTCTCCCTCCCTATCCTTGGCTGTCTCTCCCTTCCTGCCCTTGGCTGTCTCTCCCTTCCTGCCCTTGGCTGTCTCTCCCTTCCTGCCCTTGGCTGTCTCTCCCTTCCTACCCTTGGCTTTCTCTCCCTCCCTATCCTTGGCTGTCTCCCTTCCTGCCCTTGGCTGTCTCTCCCTTCCTGCCCTTGGCTGTCTCTCCCTTCCTACCCTTGGCTGTCTCTCCCTTCCAACCCTTGGCTGTCTCTCCCTTCCTGCCCTTGGCTGTCTCTCCCTTCCTACCCTTGTCTTTCTCTCCCTGCCCTTGGCTGTCTCTCCCTTCCTACCCTTGTCTTTCTCTCCCTTCCAACCCTTGGCTGTCTCTCCCTTCCTACCCTTGGCTGTATCTCCCTTCCTGCCCTTGGCTGTCTCTCCCTTCCTGCCCTTGGCTGTCTCTCCCTTCCTACCCTTGGCTTTCTCTCCCTCCCTATCCTTGGCTGTCTCTCCCTGCCCTTGGCTGTCTCTCCTTTCCTGCCCTTGGCTGTCTCTCCCTTCCTGCCCTTGGCTTTCTCTCCCTTCCTACCCTTGGCTTTCTCTCCCTTCCTACCCTTGGCTTTCTCTCCCTTCCTACCCTTGGCTTTCTCTCCCTTCCTATCCTTGGTTTTCTCTCCCTCTCTACCCTTGGCTTTCTCTCCCTTCCTGCCCTTGGCTTTCTCTCCCTTCCTACCCTTGGCTTTCTCTCCCTTCCTACCCTTGGCTTTCTCTCCCTTCCTGCCCTTGGCTTTCTCTCCCTTCCTGCCCTTGGCTTTCTCTCCCTTCCTGCCCTTGGTTTTCTCTCCCTTCCTACCCTTGGCTTTCTCTCCCCTTCCTACCCTTGGCTGTCTCTCCCTCTCTACCCATGGCTTTCTCTCCCTTCCTACCCTTGGCTGTCTCTCCCTTCCTATCCTTGGCTGTCTCTCCCTTCCTACCCTTGGCTGTCTCTCCCTTCCTATCCTTGGCTGTCTCTCCCTTCCTACCCTTGGCTGTCTCTCCCTTCCTATCCTTGGCTGTCTCTCCCTTCCTACCCTTGGCTGTCTCTCCCTTCCTACCCTTGGCTGTCTCCCTTCCTACCCTTGGCTGTCTCTCCCTTCCTATCCTTGGCTGTCTCTCCCTACCCTTGGCTGTCTCTCCCTTCCTATCCTTGGCTGTCTCTCCCTCCCTATCCTTGGCTGTCTCTCTTCCTACCCTTGGCTGTCTCTCCCTCTCTACCCTTGGCTTTCTCTCCCTTCCTACCCTTGGCTGTCTCTCCCTTCCTATCCTTGGCTGTCTCTCCCTTCCTACCCTTGGCTGTGTCTCCCTTCCTATCCTTGGCTGTCTCCCTTCCTACCCTTGGCTGTCTCTCCCTTGCTACCCTTGGCTTTCTCTCCCTTCCTGCCCTTGGCTGTCTCTCCCTCTCTACCCTTGGCTTTCTCTCCCTTCCTGCCCTTGGCTTTCTCTCCCTTCCTACCCTTGGCTTTCTCTCCCTTCCTACCCTTGGCTTTCTCTCCCTTCCTACCCTTGGCTGTCTCTCCCTTCCTACCCTTGGCTGTCTCTCCCTTCCTACCCTTGGCTGTCTCTCCCTTCCTACCCTTGGCTGTCTCTCCCTTCCTACCCTTGGCTGTCTCTCCCTTCCTACCCTTGGCTGTCTCTCCCTTCCTACCCTTGGCTGTTTCTCCCTTCCTACCCTTGGCTGTCTCTCCCTTCCTACCCTTGGCTGTCTCTCCCTTCCTACCCTTGGGTGTCTCTCCAGTGTGTGCCAGTCTGATAACGTCTCCGTCCGGAGACGAAAGCGCTCACTAATAATGTTATTCATGTTTTGTGGTGTCTTGTGCACCTGTGAATAAGGAAAATGAGTGAGAACGCGAGGTCATTTATTATTGTTTTGAGCGTAGTGTGGACGTCGCGGAGCACGGAGCCGCGAGCTAAGCATCTGGCTTGGAGGCAATTTGAATTCCAGGTCCCTTTGAATTCCATAGGCCTGGTCGAGGACCGAGCCGCGAGGACACTAAAGCCCCGAAATCATCTCAAAATAATATGTCATCTCATCTCAAGATAACCCCATATACGGCCCATTAGCGTTGTGGCGGCGACATTAACACTGTCCTGACAATATATTCCTTCCCGTATTCAGGCTCCTTGTCCCCCCCTCTTCTTCCTCTCTCTTTTTTTTCAGCTCGGGGGAAAAACGTGAAGTGTTTTACTTGTTTCTTGCGGGAGTTTCCGCGCGGTGTCGGGCGGGCAATTTATGCGTCCCGAGAGAGGTAGCGTTAGCCGCGCTAGACACACGGGAGCTGGCTAATTCCTCCCTGGCGCGCTCTCCCCACCGTTCTTGTTACTGTTATGCTGCACAATAAAACAGTTCCACTGTAGTTATGCCCGGCATAATGAATAATTTGTCACGCAGAAATAAGCGACATTTAATACATGTTGCAAGAGACCGAGGAGAGAAGTTATGCTTGGAGATGTAAATTTAAATGCGCGTTGCGGACGGGTGTCTGAAGATGAGATACATTCCCCTTCCTCCAAGCAATATATTCCTGTTAACTGGTAAGTGAACTTGCATTAGTGGATATTTATTGCAACAGCCGATGAGCCCCGAGCTGCCTGCCCTCCACCTGTTTACCACGCTTGTTACAAGGCTTCCTCTACAGGCCGCCCGCTGCTTCAGCCTCTACAGGCCGCCCGCTGCTTCAGCCTCTACAGGCCGCCCGCAGCATCAGCCTCTACAGGCCGCCCGCTGCTTCAGCCTCTACAGGCCGCCCGCTGCTTCAGCCTCTACAGGCCGCCCGCTGCTTCAGCCTCTACAGGTCGCCCGCTGCTTCAGCCTCTACAGGCCGCCCGCAGCATCAGCCTCTACAGGTCGCCCGCTGCTTCAGCCTCTACAGACCGCCCGCAGCATCAGCCTCTACAGGCCGCCCGCAGCATCAGCCTCTACAGGCCGCCCGCAGCATCAGCCTCTACAGGCCGCCTGCAGCATCAGCCTCTACAGGCCGCCCGCAGCATCAGCCTCTACAGGCCGCCCGCTGCTTCAGCCTCTACAGGCCGCCCGCTGCTTCAGCCTCTACAGGCCGCCCGCTGCTTCAGCCTCTACAGGCCGCCCGCTGCTTCAGCCTCTACAGGCCGCCCGCTGCTTCAGCCTCTACAGGCCGCCCGCTGCTTCAGCCTCTACAGGCCGCCCGCTGCTTCAGCCTCTACAGGCCGCCCGCTGTTTCAGCCTCTACAGGTCGCCCGCTGCTTCAGCCTCTACAGGCCGCCCGCTGCTTCAGCCTCTACAGGCCGCCCGCTGCTTCAGCCTCTACAGGCCGCCCGCTGCTTCAGCCTCTACAGGCCGCCCGCAGCATCAGCCTCTACAGGTCGCCTGCAGCATCAGCCTCTACAGGTCGCCCGCTGCTTCAGCCTCTACAGGCCGCCCGCAGCATCAGCCTCTACAGGCCGCCCGCAGCTTCAGCCTCTACAGGCCGCCCGCTGCTTCAGCCTCTACAGGTCGCCCGCTGCTTCAGCCTCTACAGGCCGCCCGCTGCTTCAGCCTCTACAGGTCGCCTGCTGCATCAGCCTCTACAGGTCGCCCGCTGCTTCAGCCTCTACAGGCCGCCCGCTGCTTCAGCCTCTACAGGCCGCCCGCAGCATCAGCCTCTACAGGCCGCCCGCAGCATCAGCCTCTACAGGCCGCCCGCAGCATCAGCCTCTACAGGTCGCCCGCTGCTTCAGCCTCTACAGGCCGCCCGCAGCATCAGCCTCTACAGGTCCCCCCTCTACAGGCCGCCCAAGAGGACGCCCGCAGCATTAGCCTCTACAGGTCGCCCGCAGCATCAGCCTACTACAGCAGCATCAGCCTCTACAGGACGCCCGCAGCATCAGCCTCTACAGGTCGCCCGCAGCATCAGCCTCTACAGACCGCCCGCAGCATCAGCCTCTACAGGCCGCCCGCAGCATCAGCCTCTACAGACCGCCCGCAGCATCAGCCTCTACAGGCCGCCCGCAGCATCAGCCTCTACAGGCCGCCCAAGAGAGGAGGCCAAGATGGCAACATGGCGGCTGACCGGAGTTGATGAGGTAGTGGTGAGTGTGGTTGATGAGGTAGTGGTGAGTGTGGTTGATGAGGTAGTGGTGAGTGTGGTTGATGAGGTAGTGGTGAGTGTGGTTGATGAGGTAGTGGTGAGTGTGGTTGATGAGGTAGTGGTGAGTGTGGTTGATGAGGTAGTGGTGAGTGTGGTTGATGAGGTAGTGGTGAGTGTGGTTGATGAGGTAGAGGTGAGTGTGGTTGATGAGGTAGAGGTGAGTGTGGTTGATGAGGTAGTGGTGAGTGTGGTTGATGAGGTAGAGGTGAGTGTGGTTGATGAGGTAGTGGTGAGTGTGGTTGATGAGGTAGAGGTGAGTGTGGTTGATGAGGTAGAGGTGAGTGTGGTTGATGAGGTAGTGGTGAGTGTGGTTGATGAGGTAGAGGTGAGTGTGGTTGATGAGGTAGAGGTGAGTGTGGTTGATGAGGTAGAGGTGAGTGTGGTTGATGAGGTAGTGGTGAGTGTGGTTGATGAGGTAGTGGTGAGTGTGGTTGATGAGGTAGTGGTGAGTGTGGTTGATGAGGTAGTGGTGAGTGTGGTTGATGAGGTAGAGGTGAGTGTGGTTGATGAGGTAGTGGTGAGTGTGGTTGATGAGGTAGAGGTGAGTGTGGTTGATGAGGTAGAGGTGAGTGTGTTGGATGAGGTAGTGGTGAGTGTGGTTGATGAGGTAGTGGTGAGTGTGGTTGATGAGGTAGTGGTGAGTGTGGTTGATGAGGTAGTGGTGAGTGTGGTTGATGAGGTAGTGGTGAGTGTGGTTGATGAGGTAGTGGTGAGTGTGGTTGATGAGGTAGAGGTGAGTGTGGTTGAAGCTGAGGCCAGGACTCACCATTAATGGGGCGCCCTGCAGGAATTAATACATAAGATGGAGTCAAACATTTTAACAAATCTAGGAATGTATGAAAGACAAATGAACAACAACAGTAAACAAGAGACATGAGAGGAAACTGGCATACATGGGAGCAAGAGCTACGGTTCCCAGCACTGAGCAAGAGCTACGGTTCCCAGCACTGAGCAAGAGCTACGGTTCCCAGCACTGAGCAAGAGCTACGGTTCCCAGCACTGAGCAAGAGCTACGGTTCCCAGCACTGAGCAAGAGCTACGGTTCCCAGCACTGAGCAAGAGCTACGGTTCCCAGCACTGAGCAAGAGCTACGGTTCCCAGCACTGAGCAAGAGCTACGGTTCCCAGCAAGAGCTACGGTTCCCAGCAAGAGAGCTACGGTTCCCAGCACTGAGCAAGAGCTACGGTTCCCAGCACTGAGCAAGAGCTACGGTTCCCAGCACTGAGCAAGAGCTACGGTTCCCAGCACTGAGCAAGAGCTACGGTTCCCAGCACTGAGCAAGAGCTACGGTTCCCAGCACTGAGCAAGAGCTACGGTTCCCAGCACTGAGCAAGAGCCGGGAACCAGGGAGGCGGCCACAGAAGGAGAACAATGTCGGGAAAGACGGCGCAAACACAAGGAAGAAACGGGTAAAGATGTCTGAGGTAAATAGAATATATGATCAACTATTGGCAGAGATAAATTAGATATTTCCATACATATTAATGAACTGACAAATCGACTTGAGAATGGTCCAGGACGGACCGAAACGTCGTCGTCCCTTCAATTTCTAGTGTGTGGTCTGGTCAACATGAACTGACAAATTGACTAAGTGATACTGAGGATATTCCTGATTATTTAAGACCAACTTGAACTGAAAAGATACTCACTGTCCCAGAGAAGAGACAGCCACTCACGCTAGAGAGGCACTCTGGGGGCAGCCATGATGGTCGAGGGGGAGTACTGGTCTGGGAAGAAACAGTCACACACTGAGAGGGTAAAGACAGAGTACAAAGAGGTAATGGGTGGACTACAGTACCATAAGGCCGGTACTAAGACCAATTTTGTCCCCAATTTACGCTAGTCCAACTTGCAGATGAAATATGTTTTTTATATAAATATTTGCCAATGGTGAAAACCTTTTGAGATGAATGCTATGAGGGAAGGGCTGTTGTATATTGCTAGATGAACTGTAGTGACAAAATCCTTTCAGCTGTGTAAAATGGCTGGAAGACAGATTCAGGATCATGAATAAATTATAGACTTGGGAGTAGACAGCTTCAACTCTAACAGCAGAGCCACACTTTAGCAGACTAACGTTGGCCTATATGCCATACTGACCGACGTCAGGTTACCTACAGGGGGGTGCAGACCTATATATAAATTGCTAGACTCAGTATAGTCAACCAACAAACGGATTTAAGTTGTTTAAAATGAAACGTCTGCGTGGAACTCGACGGTTCATTGCCGCAACCTTTGTCTCGCAGCTGTGGCGAAAATATAATGTGGGATACTGTGAGACACCTGTTGAGAGGTAATTATGTCGTTGGTGGAGGGTAGGGCCTGGTAGGGGAGGCTGTTGAGAGGTAATTATGTCGTTGGTGGAGGGTAGGGCCTGGTAGGGGAGGCTGTTGAGAGGTAATTATGTCGTTGGTGGAGGGTAGGGCCTCGTAGGGGAGGCTGTTGAGAGGTAATTATGTCGTTGGTGGAGGGTAGGGCCTGGTAGGGGAGGCTGTTGAGAGGTAATTATGTCGTTGGTGGAGGGTAGGGCCTCGTAGGGGAGGCTGTTGAGAGGTAATTATGCCGTTGGTGGAGGGTAGGGCCTGGTAGGGGAGGCTGTTGAGAGGTAATTATGCCGTTGGTGGAGGGTAGGGCCTGGTAGGGGAGGCTGTTGAGAGGTAATTATGCCGTTGGTGGAGGGTAGGGCCTGGTAGGGGAGGCTGTTGAGAGGTAATTATGCCGTTGGTGGAGGGTAGGGCCTGGTAGGGGAGGCTGTTGAGAGGTAATTATGCCGTTGGTGGAGGGTAGGGCCTGGTAGGGGAGGCTGTTGAGAGGTAATTATGCCGTTGGTGGAGGGTAGGGCCTGGTAGGGGAGGCTGTTGAGAGGTAATTATGCCGTTGGTGGAGGGTAGGGCCTGGTAGGGGAGGCTGTTGAGAGGTAATTATGCCGTTGGTGGAGGGTAGGGCCTGGTAGGGGAGGCTGTTGAGAGGTAATTATGCCGTTGGTGGAGGGTAGGGCCTCGTAGGGGAGGCTGTTGAGAGGTAATTATGCCGTTGGTGGAGGGTAGGGCCTGGTAGGGTAGGCTGTTGAGAGGTAATTATGTCGTTGGTGGAGGGTAGGGCCTGGTAGGGGAGGCTGTTGAGAGGTAATTATGTCGTTGGTGGAGGGTAGGGCCTGGTAGGGGAGGCTGTTGAGAGGTAATTATGTCGTTGGTGGAGGGTAGGGCCTGGTAGGGAAGGCTTGAGGTCACACCACGCCCTCCACTCTCCCTCCTACCTTAATGTTGTTCTTACCTCAGACATCACAAACTTCACACTATTCAGACTTGTTCTCTTTGAGGTCTGACGTCGCCACATGAATTGAGAGGATCACACAAACTTGTGAGAAAAAACCATTCCATAAACTTTGAGATATCTCACTTGTATTCGAAGCGGGACTTGAAACAGGAGTGTTTCCCTCTTGGCTTGCGACGGAGTTGAAGCCTCATAAGCAGCTCACTTTTCCCCATCAAACCAGGTCTTGTGCTTCAAACCCTTTTGAATCTTATGTCTCTAGAACCCCAAGCGATACAGCAGTAATTTCCTAAAGTGATTCAGCTATTCAAGACTTTTTCCAAAGAGTTTCCAAAGTTATTTGGCAGTTAATTTCTGGAATGGACGTCCTTCCTGTTCAGTCATGCATTTTATCTTCAGCTCGCCAATCTACGACACAGCTTTGAGCCCCCCTTCCCCACCCCCATCTGTATCCCACCCCCTCCACTGAGCCACCCCTCACCCCTTCTGTAGCCCCCCTCCCCTGAGCCACCCCTCACCCCTGCTGTAGCCCCCCCCCCACCATCAAACCCCACCTCCCTCCACTGTCGTGCCGTCAGCTCTCCTGGGATACTTTGTTCTCTCAGGCGCTGCTCCTTCCTTCGCTTCTCAAAGAAAAACAAATATAAATATTTGAGATGCGAGACACGAGCACACACACATAAGCAGGTCCTCGCGGTCGAGCGGACAGCGCTCGGGAGTCGTCCAAAGAGCCCAGGTTCGATTCCCGGCTGAGGCATGTGCATCTCTCCAGTTCCGGCAGACTCTTCAAACAGAAACAAATGGGCAGCAGAGTTCGCTTCACCTGACGCCTCTGTTCACCTAGCAATAAATAAGTACCTGGAAGTTAGACACCTGCTATGGCTGATTCCTGGGTGTGTGCGCATACTCAACCAATTGTACTTACCTAATTGTGTTTGTGGAAGTTGAGCTTCAGTTCTTTGGTCCCGCCTCTGAACTGTTAATTGGTGTACAGGTTCCTGAACCTATTGGGCTCTGTCATATATGCATTTGAAACTGTGCACGGAGTCAGCCTCCACCACATTACTGAATTCCTAATGCATTCCATATATTAACTACTCTGGCACTCAAATTTGTTTCTCTAATGTCTCGGTGGCTCGTTTGGGTACTCAGTCTCCACCTACGTCCCCTTAAGCGTGTACCTCCCGTGCTAAATAATGTTTTTATCTACTCTGTCTATTCCGCTGCGAATGTTGTATGTGGTGATCATGCCTTCCCTAATTCTTTTGTCTTCCAGCGACGTGAGGTGAAATTCCATCTGTTAACTACTCTGACACTGAAAAAGTTCTTTCTAACGTCCCTGTGGCTCATTTGGGTATTCAGTTTCCACATGTGTCCCCTTATTCGCGTACCACCCGTGTTAAACAGTTTATCCCTATCCACTCTGTCAATTCCTCTGAGAATTTTGTAGGTAGTGATCATTCATGTCTCCCCTTACTCTTCTGTCTTCCAGTGTCGTAAGGTTCATTTCCCGCAGCCTTTCGTTGTAACTCATACCCGCTTAGTTCTGGGACTAGCCTAGTGGCATGCCGTTGAACCTTCTCCAGCTTCGTCCTATACTTGACAGGGTGTGGACTCCATGCTGCAGGCGCATACTCTAGTATTGGTCTGACATATAT